CAGGCTCCCTCCTCCCTCTAGGATCCAGCCTGTTCCTTGTGGCGGCTCATGAGTTCGGCCACGCGCTGGGCTTAGACCACTCGTCCGTGCCAGAGGCGCTTATGTACCCCATGTACCGCTTCACCGACGAACCCCCCCTGCACGAGGACGACGTGAGGGGCATCCAGCATCTCTACGGTGAGGCCAGGGCCGGAGTGAAGGAGAGGGAAGGGCGTGGCTCTGCCTCAGTACGGGAGATGGGAGGTGGACACAGGGACCGATTGCTGCCGGGTCCACGCTTATCAAGGCTTAGAGATGGTGCTAAAGAACGGGGGGATGGGGGGAGGAGAGAGAGAGAGTTTTTCTTTCCTTTTTAAAAAAATAATTATTTATTTTATTTATTCATTCATTTTTTAGTTTGAGCAGAGAGAGACAGAGGGTGAGAATGAGAGAGAGAGGAAGTGAGAAAGCAAGCCACCAGATTCAGGACTCGAACCCTGGTCAGCCATGTGGGAGTGTCCAGCACCTTAACCACCACGCCACCTGCTGGTCCCAGAGAGGGTTTTTCAAAAACCAGTTCAACCACTTCATAGCTAGATGACTTCGGGTATGGGAGCTCACTCCTCGATTTCCTCATCTGTAAAGGGGAGTAAATAACAGTACCTATCTCAGAGTTACTACGAGGTTTAAATGATTTAGAATGATGCCTGGCATGTAGTAAGCACCATATAAGTGCTCAATACATGTATGTGAGTGTGTGTCTAATATGTATATGTATATAATATGTGTATACACATATACACACACATATATATTCTTTAACTTAACTTTATCTATTTTTTTTTAATATGAGGATATTGGGGCCAGCAGGTGGCATGGTGGTTAAGGGCACTGGACTCCCACATGGCCAGGCGTGGTTTGAGTGGTTCGAGTTCTAGACCTGGCAGCTTGCTTTCTCACTCTCTCTCTTGCTCTCTCACTCTGTTCCTCTCTAATCAAATTAAACTAGATAAGTAAAGTTAAATAAAATAATTCTTGGCATCAGCAGGTGGTGTGGTGGTTAAGGGGGCTGGACTCTCACATGGCCGACTGCGGTTCAAGTCTCAGACCTGGCGGCTTTTTGAGTTTCCCCCTCTCTCTCTCACTCTGTCCCTCTCTGGTCAAATTTAAATAAATTAAAAAATATGGGGATATTAAAGAACCTACATCATAGCGTTTCTTTAAAGATTTAATGAGCTGATAACTGGCATTTATAAAGCTCTCAGCATTAAGTTTGGCGCAGGGTGAGCTCTCCAACGCTTGGCTCCCACTGGCCTGGAAGGTGGATTCCTGCCTGTCCGGTGTCCATAGGGCCTGGCCCAGGAACTGCGTAAATGCAGCTTGAATGAAAACCGAGTGTATGGAAGCCTGAGACTGGGGGATGCAGGTTTCAACGTCTACACTGGAGCTGTGTGTACTGGGGGTGAGGGGGTGTACTGGGCGCCCTGCCCACTGTAGACATTGGGAGAACAAGAAATGTCACTGGTATAGAGATATGCGGAAATGGGGGGTGTCTCATCAGGACTCTCTTTTTAGGTCCTGGCCCTAAACCTGACCCACGGCCGCCAGCCACTACCACGGTTACACCGCAAAAAAAACCGCCCCTCTGAGCGGCCCACGGCGGGCCCCACAGGCCCCCCCTCAGCTGGCCCCACAGGACCCCCCACTGCTGGCCCTTCTGAGGCCCCCACAGCACCTCTGAGTCCAGCAGACGATGCCTGCAACGTGAACATCTTCGACGCCATCGCAGAGATTGGGAACCAGCTGCTCGTCTTCAAGGATGGGTGAGGAGGCCGGGCTCTGGATGACGAAGGGGTCTTGGAGGAGGGAACTGCCCACCGTCCTGCCCGTGGCCCGTGGCCCTGGGTCCAGTGACCCGCCTTTCCTTTCCCACGCTCTCAGGAGGTACTGGCGATTCTCAGAGGGCAGGGGGCGTCGGCCGCAGGGCCCCTTCCGTATCGCCGACACGTGGCCCGCGCTGCCCGCCAAGCTGGACTCTGCCTTTGAGGAGCCGCTCACCAAGAAGATTTTCTTTTTCTCTGGTTAGTTCCCCCTTCCTCCTCCCGCCGCCCCCTTAATCCCCGCGAGTCAGGGAGGACCAGAGACCGAGGACACCCAGGAATGTCTTGCCTGTGTCGGGAAAGGGCGCCCCCTCCTGGTTGATGCAATTCAGCAAATGTAAGGGGACTGAGTTTCAGTCCCCCTCCTCACCACGCCCTTGCACGACAGAGACCGCGGGCACGCCAGACTAGGAGGGGTCTCTGGGTTCCCCGTCCTCACATTCAAGGAGAATTTCTGGCCCCTCCGCACCCATGACCGACACGACCCTTCTCCCTGCAGGGCGCCAAGTGTGGGTGTACACAGGCGCGTCAGTGCTGGGCCCGAGGCGTCTGGACAAGCTGGGCCTGGGCTCCGAGGTGGCCCACGTCACCGGCGCCCTCCCGCGTGGCGGGGGTAAGGTGCTGCTGTTCAGCCAGGAGCACTTTTGGAGGTGAGAGCCACCGCGGCCGCCGGCAGGGGGAGTCCGGGCGCCATCGTCCCGCTCGCCGGCCCGCAGGCTCAGCCCCTGTCTCCTTGCCGGCTGCTTGCAGATTCGACGTGAAAACGCAGAAGGTGGATCCTGGGAGCAGCACGCACGTGGACCAGATGTTCCCTGGGGTGCCCTTGAACACGCACGACATCTTCCAGTATCGAGGTGAGGGTTGCCGACGGCAGAGGGGGCCCTTCGTGACAGAACTCGCGCCTGGCGCTCCTGCCTTGGTGATTGGTCAGATTCAGAGGGCAGGGGAGAAAGCCCTAGGAGACAGCCCTATGCCCCAGCACAGATAAGATCCCTGTAGAGGCAGACACCCAGGTCATACAGGAAGTCAGGCAGAGGAGCTGGCTGGGGCACTAGATTTCCTGCCTCCAGGGCTGGAAGCTCTTCCCACTCCAGTGCAGGCCACCGGGTGTGCAAGGAAGCTCATCCCAGTTAGGCAGTAGTTACTATCCACAAGTGCCTGTAAAGCGCCAGGCCGGGTGCTGCCAGCAGGGATACAGGGAGAGGTGACAATTCCTAGCTGTGTGTCTTTGGGCAAGTCACGTCTACATTCAGAGCCCCTGGTCCCCATCTGTAACGGGGATCACAGCTGAGTTATACTGCTTTCTTTCTCACCTCTCACGCCCAGTCAGCTGACCACTTTGCTACCAAAGTCCATCCTGAAACTCACGTTTGGCCACCTCCTTTGCAAACATCCCAGTCTAGGCCATACTGATTGTCCGATGCCTTTCAATGTATTCCGAGAGATCTGAGAGGAGGTAGGAGTAGAGGAGGATGGTCTTGGGGGTGACCCCAGACCCATTTCAAGATCAAGGGAACTCACTTGATCTGACCCAGTTGCCCTCTCCCTTCCCCACTGGTGGGATCTCAGCTCCTCCCAGCTCCTCCAGCCTTTTACTGTGCTCCGCCCACCCTGGCTGCTCCTAACAGATCAAGGTCATTCCTAGCTTAGGGCCTTTGCTGCCAGTTGTTCCTCTGACTGAAAGGCTTTTCCCTCAGATTGTCTGTCACCCGGCTGCCTTCCTCTCATCCTTCAGACCTAATGCTAAGGCCACCATTTTGGAGAGGCCTTCCCTGACCCTCATTATCTCGCTTGCTTTTATTTTCTCCAAAGACTGTACATTTTCAAAATCCATCTCATTATACAGGAGATGCACATGTTTTCTCATTAGTTGTCTGTCTTGCTCCACTACGGTGTAAGCTTCAAAAGAATTAAGACTATGCCTGCATTTGTTTCCCTCCTGTATCTTTAGTGCTTTGAATAAATCGCATAGTAGGTGGTCAATAAATACTTGTTGACTGAATGAATGGATTTATCGAATGAATGAGTGGTGAATGAGAAGTTCTGATAATCAAGACAGGTCATCCACTCATTCGTTAGTTCATTCACAGAATGTGTATGGAGTACCTACCGTGTACTCTACCAGTGCTTCGGGCATCGAAGTCTGAAGTCTGTGCCCTCGAGCAGCTTACAGGGAGAACAGAGGGAGAGAGAGTGGCATGTCAAAACCCTGCACACATCTAGAAGGGGTAGGAGGGGTGGTTGTAAAGGTCTGGCTCTGGTTTCTTTTTTCAGAATTATTTTTATTTAACTTTATTTATTTATTTATTTATTTATTTTAATTTTGACCAGAGAGCGAGAGGGAAAGTGAGAGAGCAAGCCACCAGGTCGGAGACTCGAACCATGGTCGCCATGTGGGAGTCCAGCGCCCTTAACCACCATACCACCTGCAGGCCCTTGGTCTGGGTCCAGTTTCTGTCTGTGTATGTGAAAAGGCTTAACACTTCTCTCTGTGTCTGCCTGTCCCTTGCAGAGAAAGCCTACTTCTGCCAAGATCGATTCTACTGGCGTGTAAGTTCCCGGGAGGAGGTGAACCAGGTGGACCAAGTAGGCTACGTGTCTTCTGATATTCTGCAGTGCCCTGAGGAGTAGAACTCCCAACCGGCTCCGACAGTGCAGTGCGGGTCCCCATGGGGACTGTCCAATGCGAAGGAGCCAGTTTGCCGGATACAAACTGGTGGTTCTGGAGGATGGGGAGGCGTAGGGGTGGGCTGGGCCCTTCCTGCCCACCTTTCCTTTTTGTTGGAATGTTTCTAATAAAGTTGGATTCTCTAACCTTGAGGTGCAGGCTTTATGTATGTATGTATGCACGTAAGCATGCATGTATGTATGTGCAAAAGAATTCATCTGATGAGATTTGCTGAAAATGCCTGAGAATCAGCAGGTCAGTAAAATAAAAGGTGGAACGGGCAGGTGATGTGGTGGTTAAGGTGCTGGACTCCCACATGGCTGACTGCGGTTTGAGTCCTGGACCTGGGGGCTTGCTTTCTCACTTTCTCTGTCTCTCTTGCTTGCTTGCTATCTCTTTCTGGTGAGTACACATGCCCTACAGCAAATTTAAAAAGATAATAATAAATAAAATTTTAAAAAATGTTTAAAAAGGCACACTGATTTATCTAATGTATACATAGGTACACAGAAGCCTTCAGAATGAAGATACAGAAATACAAGGGAAGCTATCTGGTGTTATACTTAGGTTCGACGAAGCAGAAATGTGTAGAAATGTGATTGGACAGGAAGGGTATGCACTAATGGGGATAGGCCAAGTGAGGAAACCCAGCAAACCTGCCTCTTTAAATTTTTTTTTTTTTTTTCTGGGCGACATTCCTTCCTCCTAAGAATGGGACAGGACACCTGGAATGAGGGTCTTATTAGTTAACATCAGATAAGGTAGGTCAGAGAATTCACTTTTTTTTTTTCCTTTTTAGTTTGCTATAGGGCATGTGTGCTCACCAGAGAGAGTAGAGAAAGTGAGAAATGACCCCCCCGGGGATTGGTTATGCTACAATCCCTTCTCCTCCATTCTCCTCTTGGGATTTTGGGCTTGCACGCACATACACCCAGTGTATTTTCAAGCCACTAGGTCTGAAACTCAAACCACACAGTCAGCCAGGTGCGATCCAGCCACTTTAACTACTATGCCACCTATTTGACCTAGGTCAGAGAATTTATTTATGGTCAACTCTTACACAGGTAGACCAGGGAAAGTGTATTGTTTTTACATTTTATGCCATGTTCTAGGGAAAAGAGATTCTTGTTTCTAGGGCTTGTCTTGGGGAAGAAGAATTCTAGTTTTGTGGCTTGCCTTGGGTGGGGGAGGGAACAAGGGGCAAGAGACAGGAGGCCAGGAGAAGGTCAGGCAGGAACTGCTTCTGAGCCCTTCACTTTGGGGTGTGGTCTTCTGAGCCACAGCATATGCGTGCATGTATTTAACTGGCTGGGTACTTGCTATGTGCCAGGCAGTGTTCTAGGCCCTTCATAAACGTGAACATATTCAATCCTTGCTTTTAGGAAGACAGGACATGATTATTTTACAGGAGGTGGAAATGGCCAACCTATTTATTTATTCATCAAAAGATTTATTGAGCCTTTTTTTGGGAACCAGCAGTTAGCGTAATGGCTATGTCGCTGGACTCCCACGTAGTCGACCGCGGTTCGTGTCCCGGACCCGGTGGCTTAAAACTCACGCCGGGCACGTGT